AAAGATATTCCAGTGGGTGGTTCTTACTGTATTCTAGATTATTTCAGCAAAGTTCCAACTCGAATGAAAGAGTTTTAATTTTGGAGCGATTTTCGTCCAAGTGGCCCTTTAAAAATACGAAATAACAAAAAAAAAAAATTTCGAGCAAATCGTCATTTTTCGTATCCTAATACCTTAAAAGGAGTAAATGACAGTTGAATGATTGAGCTGCTATGGTTTAACGTGTTGATCATAAAATTAGCATCACAATCACAGCCAACAATATAACCAGCAGAGTCACAACGAAAACTACCTCTTTGAAAATTCTTCTTCCAACAGCTGAAGAATTAAGCAGAAAAGGTATCACTTCGCTTTTCATGTTTACACGAGGGAAAGGCACATCTGGGACTTCAACACCAAGAAACTCACACAAAGGTTTCCATCCTTCTTTAACGTTGTAGACAAGAAGCTGATCTCGCGGGATTGTTGACATGACTCGCTCATTATGCCTTCGATAAGCACTTTTACTGGATTCATTGATGTTGCTTTCGGTTGGAGTTTCATAAATCTTAGTCTGACTTGTTAAAAACCTCTTAAACTTTCTACCTGTGGGGGTAAAAATCATTCCCAAAATGACCCACAGCTGGGAAGCTGTTGAATTCCAAACTTCACACGTCTTCAGCCAGCTTTTCAGCCACACTTCGTCGTCATCTCTTATCATCAGGAGAACTTTGGAGTTCGGAAAAGCATGGAAAATTTCTTCAAAGAAATACATAGCAGGGGAATCAGTTACAGCATCCACATTGGCGTACATGGACACGAAGTCAGGCATTTTAGCGGATTCAAGCGCTTGATGATATTCGTCCATGTGAAATTCCCATTGCTCCTCGACATCATGCACGTTATAACCAAATATTCTGAGCGCTGACGCCATGGTTTTGGTCCCGGTCTTGGAGAAACCTGCACAGATAACTTTCATCTCTGCTGTCGTTACTGAAGGAGCCTCAGTGATATTCGACTATCAAGACTATCAAACCACTAATGATGCAATCATAGTTAACTATGATGCAATCTATTAACTATGTGCAACCAGATTTGTCCATCCATAAGAACTGAAGTATCAAGTATCAAATATTTGACAAATACAAAGCAAGGTACGTTTTTTATTAAGGGGGAGAGGGCTGGGGGATTCGCAGTAAAGAAGTGAAGAACGATTTTAAATTGCCTTTATTCTTACCTTAGTAATTTTTACCTCATTTACAAGACTAAATAACTGTTATTTGGAAGAATTCAGTGACATTTAGCTAAGTCGAGTAATAACAAAATAAGTTTGAAATGTGATCTTCCGCATGAGTGTAGTCTTGAGAAAGACTGTCGTTGGTGGTGACTGACGTTTCGACAACCTGAGCGGAAATTATCTTCAGAGTCCAAAACACAAAACTTCAACACCTGGGTTCAAACCATTTACTCTTAATAAGCGTATGTTCCTAAGGTACCAAATTCATAACCTTGCACCTCTGGAGTCTGGATAATATGCGTTATTTATTTTTATACGTTTGTATTATTTGTTGAACATTAAGAAAAGAGAGGGCAGAAAAGACGTTTGTTGGACATTGTGTTGAACACCGCAAGACTTTTGGGATTTACGATAAATCAGTTTTAGCAAAAAGCTAACCACGTTTGTTCCTCTCAAGACCTAGCCTCCTTCGCAGCCGTTCTTAGGGTCGTCACGCAACATTTCCCTCCCCACAAACGTCTGCTTACTTGAGCCGAACATTCCTTTCTCATTGTTATCGATGCGACATCATGGGCCAATCAAAATTGGCCTATTGTCTTATCAAGAGCCAATTTTGAAAGGCGACAACTAGCGACAAAGAGGGAAGGGAGGGAAACGTTGCGTGACGACCCTAAGAACGGCTGCGAAGGAGGGTACTCAAGACAATGTAATGCAAAACGTTTTCGTTAATCTCATCCATAAGTTGTAGAGAAGTTATGAATAGTATGAATATGCAATTTGACATGTGAAATGAGTCTAAATATTTTAATTGCACATTTAGGGTCGATTATCCGTGTGCTAAACAAAAACCACATCAGTGAAGTAAAAGAGTACTCAAGTGTGACATCACGAAAAGATAAATTTTGACTCATTATTTTCGATCTCCAAACGTTTGGAACGGAGCCGAAAATGCAGTGATTTGTATGGAGTAATTTTATATTCAAATGGTCATATCTCAGCTAATATTTGTCTGGTTCTCGTCAATGTTGGTGTGTAAACGTATTTTCTGATTGTCTATCGAATTTGTTAAAGTGCTACTCTGA